GTTGTTTTTCTGGCCTTTTGTTGTGCTGGAACAGAGATGTCTATGAAATTGCAGGAATCGGTAGACACCTTCCCACACGTCTCCATCAGCCTTTCTGGAAAAATAATGACCTCTGCCTTCCCCACAGGCCAGAAGGCTCCTCGACCTTGCCATGGTGAAGGCGAATGGGTTGGCCCCTTTCCTTCTACAGCATGTTGAGGAATTACCAGTCCCGAAGGCCCTGCCTTTTGAAGGTATATATATGTATGTTCTTAGTTCATCAGGAAAGGAAGGAAAGGCTGTGCAGACTCATGGTCAAGAGCACAAACTTCAGAGTGAGACGTTCCGTTAGAATCCCACTTACTGGCTGTGCAAGCCTAAGACTCGCTTTCCTCATTTGAAGGATAATGCCACCACCGTCTCATGGGGCCATCGGGAAGACTAACGGGAGAAACATGCATTTCAGGGTTAGCTTTTACTACTTCTGGCCCTGCAGGACATCGCTGGAGTGACTGGGTATTGAGGGACTGACTGTGGTGTTCCTTACTAGCGAAACTCTCAGCTGTACCGAAAAGATGTGGACACAACCTTGAGATAGGGCGGGTATCTCTTTTTCAATTTACCTTTCAATTATAGTTGACAGATAATATTATATGAGTCTCAGGTGTACAGCACAGTGATTAGACATTTATACACCTAAGGAAGGGCTGCTATCTCTTGATCGCAGCAATTTAGCTACTCACTACCAGCAACTCAAGAACCAAATGGATTTAGATAACATGGTATCTCATTGCACACAGCCACCAACCCAACTCAGGCATGGGAGAAGCTTAGATAGCACAGCTTGAACAAATGTCCCAGGCGTCCTGCCACGTGCTTTACTTACAATCTCTGTCCCCTGAGAAGTAGGTGTTGTTTTCGCTGCTTTACTGATGTGAAAACGGGGGCAGGAGGGCGAAGGAGGAGGTAGGGGAGGATGGGTCTCCACCCGCACTTTCTCTGTTTGGGGGGAAAGAGATCATCATTTGTAAAGAGAGGACGCAAGCCTGGCACTCTTCGAGTCTCCTTCCCACATCACTACAGGGAAAGCGCATCGACACGGAGGGCCCCTGAACTGTGCATGGGGCTGGCAGATGGATTTGTCACCCTGGGCCTTGCCCTCTGGGTGGTGAACATGCCCGTGGGAGGGAGGGCTGGAAGGCTGTGCTCGGCACCTGGGTGTGCACCCTGTCGCCTGAGAATGCAGCAGAGATATTAGTACACGTCAGCAGATGTACAGCACAGGGCCAGGGCCGGCTTAGCCCTTGGTTAATGTTCGCTGTTGATATCAGTAAGCAAGCTGGCCGACATGTATTATAACACCACGCTATGGTCAAGGTTCCCCAAGGTGATGATCCTAAAGGTGACGACTGGCGTGTGTTTATTTCTTTTTTAAATGAGAGATAATTTTATTTTCCTGGAGAACTTAGATATCATTGGTGATGACTGGAAAACTTGCATTGGAAATCAGGGTGTTAGGAGCAAATATATCTGTGGTCTCTGTTCAGTGCTCCTGGCATATCCAGAGGGCTGTAAAAACAATCATTGGCTCTGGGAACAGAAGAGGAAACACAGACACAAGGCATGTCCTTTATAGGACTAAATACAGCTTCAATGTGCTCAGAGCGCTCTGTGAAAATTACTTGTTAGCCTTTGGGTTGAGAACAGATGGGTCAGAGCTTGGGTGGGGGCAGTGAGGCCGGGATAGGGTGAATCACGCTCTGAGGTCCCACCACCCTGGGCGTTAGATCACCACTTCCCCATTTCCTGAAAGGAGAACTAACCTGACACAGGAAGTGGTTTGCTCAGGTTGATATTAGGATGATAAAGGGTATATGGACATACCCTACACGTGGGCACTGCAGGACGTGACGTGAAGAGCATGGGGAAGTAGATTGGATCAGGAAACCTTGTCCCAGCTCTAGACCCAGGCACCCTATGATTCTAAGGCCATTCAGGGCTAGGCCACCCCGGTAATCCAGGGTGATCGCCCTGTCTCAAGGTCGGTAATCACACCTGCCTAGTCCCTTTTGCAAGTAAGTTCTGAGGATTAGGGCATGGACATCTTTGGGGGGACATTGTTGTGCTATCACACCCACTAATCATAATGATAACAAACACTGGTTTTTGAAAGCTGACCATGTATCAGGCATTCTTCTAACCTCTATTTTATCTCATTTCCTCCTGACACAATCCTTCAAGATGTGGATTGCCCCCATTTGTGCAGATACGACTAGTGAGGCCAGAAAAGCTAAGTGGCCTGCCCAAGCTCATGGTGGACCCAGGTGTGTCTGACTTCGGAAACTGGGCACTTATGCCCTTCCACCTTCTGTGTCCCTTTAGAAAGATGCACCTGTGGCTGAATGGTGAAGGGACTTCTCTGAGGCCGCTTTGTCAGTATGGGGAGGCCAGGTGTCAGGACGCAGGTCTTCTTCTAATCAGCAGCTCTTCCTGATGTCAGTACTAATAGCACTCACTAATGTCTTTTGAGCACTTTTTGGGTTGTCGGAAAAATCGTGACCTATTTTTTCTATGTTTTTGGTTGCAAACATGCGTCATGACTTTTCCGACAACCCAATACTTTGTGTTGGATGAAGCACTTGACGTGCGTTATCCTAATTGATCCATGTAAAAACCCCATATGGTAGGGACCACCCTCTCCCCCACTTCACAAGGCAGGAAACTGAGGCTTACGAAGCTTACGTGACCATCCTCAAAGCCCGTAGCTTGTGAGTAGAGCCCGCTGTCTGTGCGCTCCCATCTGTAACATCACACGACCTCATGCAGCCCTGGCTCTGCTGAGGCCCTGTATTTCCCCCGTCCCACCTCGTTGGCCTCTTCCCCTGTCTTCTAGATGCCGCGTGTAAGAAGTACATGTCCAAGTTGAGGACCACGGTCTCTGCTCAGTCTCGCTTCCTGAGCACCTATGATGGGGCGGAGAGTCTTTGCCTAGAGGAAATATACACGGAGAACGTTCTAGAGATCCGGACGGAGGCAGGCATGGCTGGACCCCTGCAGAATGGCCCTGCCACCCTGGGCCTGGAGGAGCTCTTCAGCACCCGTGGCCACCTCAACGAGGACGCGGACACCGTGCTGGTGGTGGGTGAGGCGGGCAGCGGCAAGAGCACACTCCTGCAGCAGCTGCACCTGCTGTGGGCTGCGGGGCGGGACTTCCAGGACTTTCTCTTCGTCTTCCCAATCAGCTGCCGGCAGCTGCAGTGTGTGGCAAAACCCCTGTCGGTGCAGGCGCTGCTCTTTGAACACTGCTGTTGGCCTGACCTTGGCCAACAGGACGTCTTCCAGTTCCTCCTTGAGAACCCCGACCGCGTCCTCTTAACCTTTGATGGCTTTGACGAGTTCAAGTTCAGGTTCACGGATCACGAGCGTCACTGCTCTCCGACCCACCCCACGTCGGTCCAGAATCTGCTCTTCAACCTTCTTCAGGGCAACCTGCTAAAGAACGCCCGCAAGGTGTTGACCAGCCGTCCCGACGCCGTGTCGGCGTGCCTCCGGAAGTACGTGCGCAAGGAGCTCACCCTCAAGGGCTTCTCGGAAGACGGCATTGAACTGTACCTGCGGAAGCGCCATCGTGAGCCGGGGGTGGCCGACCGCCTCATCAGCCTGCTCAAAGCCACCTCAGCCCTGCATGGTTTGTGCCACCTTCCGGTCTTCTCGTGGATGGTGTCCAAATGCCACCAGGAACTGTTGATGCAGGGTGGGGGGTCCCCCAAAACCACCACGGATATGTACCTGCTGATCCTGCAGCATTTTCTGCTGCATGCCTCCCCACCAGACCCAGCCCCTCATGCTCTGGGAGCTGGCCTGCTTAGAGGCAGGCTCCCCACGCTGCTGCACCTCGGCCAACTGGCTCTCCGGGGCCTGGGCACATGTTGCTATGTGTTCTCAGCCAAGCAACTCCAGGCAGCGCACATTGACAGCGAGGACATTTCCCTTGGCTTCCTGGTGCGTGCCCAAAGGGCTGTGCCCGAGAGCACGGCCCCCCTAGAATTCCTGCACATCACTTTCCAGTGCTTTTTTGCCGCACTCTACCTTGCGCTCAGTGCTGACGTGCCACCATCATCGTCACTCAGATACCTCTTCAACTGTCACCAGCCAGGGAGCTCGCTGCTGGCCAGGCTGCTGCCCACGCTGTGTGTGCCAGGCTCGCGGCACAGGGAGGCCAGCATAGCAGCTCTGCTGCAGGGGACGGAGCCGCACAACCTCCAGATCACAGCGGCCTTCCTGGCAGGATTGTTGTCCCAGGAGCACCGGAGCCTGCTAGCCGAGTGCCAGGGTTCTGAGAAGGCCCTGCTCCGGCGCCAGGCCTGTGCCCGGAGGTCTCTAGCCCACAGCCTCCACAAGCACTTCCACGCCATCCCACCGGCCGTGCCGGGCGAGGCCAAGAGCATGCACGCCATGCCGGGGTTCATCTGGCTTATCCGGAGCCTGTACGAGATGCAGGATGAGCGGCTGGCGCGGCAGGCTGTGCGCAGGCTGAACGTGGGGCACCTCAAGCTGACATTTTGCAGCGTGGGCCCTGCTGAGTGTGCCGCCCTGGCCTTCGTGCTACGGCACCTCAAGTGGCCTGTGGCCTTGCAGCTGGACCATAACTCTGTGGGCGACATTGGTGTGGAGCAGCTGCTGCCTTGCCTCAGCGTCTGCAAGGCTCTTTAGTGAGTATTGCTGGGCGATGCTGGCGGCACAGTGAGAATACACCACCGAGGCGCAGGTGCGGGAATACTGTGCTGGGATCCAGGCGGTCAGGCCCAGCCCTGGCCCCGACACCCCTTCTGTGCAGCCCCGGTCAGGTCCCTTCCCCAGCCTGAGCCTTAGTTTAAATATGTGATAATGCCACATTTCATAGGATGTCCTGTGTGACAGACATGGTGCTACCTGCTTCCCAGAATTACCTCTTTTAATCTTTATAACCACCCTGGGCTGCAACAGGGAGATTCTTACCCCCATTGTTCTAGATCTGAGGCTCAGATCAACCACGTAACTTGTCCAGGGTCACATGGGAAATGGCGGAGCTGGGAGTCACAAATCACATCTTTCTGGTTATAACTCCCTGCTCCCCAATAGCCATCTGGGCAACTTACAGTGGAGCCATGGCAACGATGAGGACACATGTAAAGTTTTGTGTCATACGTGTCCGTAGTAGGAACTGCCCCAAATCAGAGGTGACCTGTGCCCCGTCAGCAACTGTAAAACCCCACCGAGATAAGAATTTCAGAACCCCAGAGAGAGAAAGCGGCTGCAGAGGTTTCCTTACAGAGCACTGTGTCCCAACGAGGTTTTGGTGTTGCCCACCCTGCTTTCAGCCCCAGGGCTGGAGGTGTGCAGCTCTCCCTTTGGAAGGCGGTGCCTCGGCACCCGTGGGCCTCCCTCCGCAGCTTGGGCCAGGCGAAGGCAGAGGGTATGCCCAGGTCTGGCGGTTGGCGTGCTGCAGGTTCCCCAACTTCTCTTCCAGCCTTGAAAGGGGATGTCCTGCTCCCTATTTATATCCTCTGCAAAAGCAGAAGTTGTAGCTTAAAGTGAAAATCTACTCACAGCGTCCCAGGCAACTTGACTTGACCCTAACCAAAAAACAAATCTCTCTTCAAATATATTAGGATGCCATACTTTCTCTAGGCCAAAGCAGCAAGAGATTTTTCTCTGCGAAGCAAACATAGATACTTAGTAGAAACTGTGCTGTGACTTTTGCTATCCCTTACGTAGGGTCTGTGGTCCTAAGTTGGTAAATAGGATGTAATAATACAACATATCATATGGGGTTAATATGTATATTATATATAATATCTATTGTAAACGTGAACATATCAGGAGGAAACAGATGACACTTAAATTGCTTGATTGGAGGAGAGTTTAATAAAGTGACTGTTTGCACAGGTTTGGGGGCAGGACTTAGGAACAGCAGAAAGAGCTGGTGCGGGCTGTGGGGCTAGTGACGTGGGGACAGCGTGGGGACAGGGCGGTTATCCTCCTTAGGCCTGAGGGGCAGGGAGAGGGGTTGTTATTAGCTGGGAGGAAGGTATGAGTGGATTGCCCGATAGCAACTGAGGTTGTAGCAACCTGGAAAGGTGGGATCTGGGGACTAAACCCTGGGCCCTCACTAACCCAGCAGGGGGCCAGAGCAGGGTACCTGCTGGCGTCATCCCTGGGAGTCAGGTCCCCAGGCCCGAGAGCCAGGCAGAGAAGGTGAGAGTACATCTGGCTTGGTAAATGGAAGTCGCCAATGCAATACTCTATTTCCCTAGAGAGAAGGAATCCTGGTTTTTTTCACTCAGGAATTTCTAGACCAGTGTTTGGGAGCTGTTTACCTGAGAGGAAAATGAACATGCATTTTTTTCTGGATTATGGACCCTTGCTCCTAAAGGAGTACTTGGACCCCAAGAGGTCAGGAACTACTGGTCTGGGTGGTCCTCGTAGATCCATCCGCGCAGATCCATTCCTAAAATGAATCTCCCCTCTCCTCGGTGAGGAGAGCCCACGTGACTCCTGCAGTGAGTAGAAGGACCGAGTGGAGGCTGGAGGCCTGTCTCTAGTTTCAGAGGACAGTGAGGCTGGTCTACTTCTAACTCCTGTGGCTCTGGAGCAAAGGGGCTGTAGCAATGCAGATTTCTGGGCCTGTCCCCAGCGGTTCCCATTCCCTAGGTCTGGGATGGGGGCCCCTGGAATCTATATTTTAAACAAACATCCCTACTGATTCTGATACAAGTGGCCCAGAGGCCACACTGTGGACACTACTGGTTGGTGGGAACCAGCTTGATGTTCCCTTAGCAGTTAAAGTCCTTGACCAAGTTCTACTGCTCCTTACCTCCCGTGCACACACATAGTATTGAAAATGCCAACACTGGGGGAGGGGAACAACCATGAGGTTGCTATATGGGCGTTTCCTCTGTGTGTGTGTGTGTGTGTGTGTGTGTGTGTGTG